TTCTAGTGGTTTCCTTATTTCTTGAAGTGGCTTTGAGTGTGGTGAGGACGGTGAAATATGCTCAGTAATTGAGATAAATATATACTCACCCTATAACCACAGTCGATAGTCATTGTAAAAGGCATTGATCAATTATGACTTATGCTTTATTATATTATCAGATAGTCATTGTTTATAAGGACCATATATGTGTGGATGTAACAATACCTGTATCAATTTTGAAACTAAAAATATGTAGGGGTTATTTTTGTAATATAACATTGTATTTCCAATAATATTTCATTTTAAACCAAATATAGAATCAGTAATTCTTACTCAAATTTCCTGGTAATATTTTGACGAACCAAACAACTTTTTCATAAGATTCCAGGTAAACTCAATTTCTACATGAATTTCCAATAATTATGATTCTCGGATACAAAAAAATTTCTCTTGTACTAAACACGCCCTGAAGACATTCCATTCCAAGCAGGGATAATGTTACAGGGGGACATTAAGTGCCTGTTTGGATCCTCTCTTTTTTAAGCTAGAAGCTACTTATAAGCATAAGCTAGGCCAAACAAGTTTTGGGAAAAGCTCTTTTTTTTATATTGAAGAAAAAATATGCAAACTAAAAGCTCCTATGAGGAGCTTTTTTTAAGCTCTTATCTTTTTTTCTTGAATTGTATGCTTTTTTTTAAATGAAGAGTGATAAAGGGCCTGTTTGATTGTGTTTTGGTTTTTTTGTTCTTAAAACTATTTTGTAGAATAATTATGAAAACAGTTGTTTTCTGTATTTTTTTTGTTTTGAAAGTTAAAAACTAAAACAGAAAACAAAAACAACTCAGACATGTTCTCTAAATTTGATTCTAAAAATCAAAAAATAGTTACAGTTTTTAAAACTTTTTTTACAAAACAAGCCTTACCAAACGAGTTTTTTTGTTTTTTTGTTCTGAAAACTAAAAATATGTTTTTAAAAACAGTAATCAATCAGAGCCAAAGATAGAGAGAGATAATTTTCTTGAAATATGTGATTTTAAGTAATTTTTAAGCTAAATTTTTTATGTAATTTCCAAACAGCTTTTAGCTTCTTTTTTTAAGCTCTTTTTTTAGCTTTAACTTATAAGTAGCTTTTAACTTAAAAATAAGAAGATCCAAACATGCTCTAAAAGTAAGGCAAGACTGAGGATCAGCATCAAAGCCAACTTTTGCTCTCATGTCAGCACAAGTGTTCTTTTGCTATCATAGCAGCACAACTGTTTGATTCAAAATTATACCGATTAATAATTTTGATTAAATGCATTTGTAGTAAAAATTAAATACCAGTAGGATTCAAAATTATACCGAATGATAATGATTATAATATCAATTGAACAAAATTTGAAAATATGGGATTGAATTGAATATTGTCTAAAAACTCAACAATTAATTTCTTTTTTAAAAATAAATTAAGGAAAGAAATGAAAAGTTGATTGCATATCATGATATTGCTACTATTATTTTCATTACTGGGGTAGGATATTCTACATTGGGCTGTATCCAGAGTTATTTGGCATTTTTGCTCAATGTTTGATTCAGAAATGATATTTACAAGGGTAGGATATTGTAACAATCAATTAGTGTTACTACCAATGTTATTAACAATCAATTTCATCGTTAGATCGAATATGTTGATCAAATGGTTATATTTATTTTCATCTTTGTATGGTTATGATTCCCCATATTTAATATTTTATATTTATTTTCACCTTTGTATGGTTATGATTTCTCATATTTAATGCTTTCACATTAAATATGGGGAATCATAACCATACAAAGATGGAAATAAATATAACTGTTGGATCAACATATTCGATCTAACGGTGAAATTGATTGGTAGTAACACTAATCGGTTGTTACAATATCCTACCCATATTTACAAACCAAAAAAACTTGCTATCATTTTTATGAGCAAATTAATACTTATTATCATTTTGATTTTATTACTGTTACTATTTGATTGGTAATTGTTTGATCAATTCGAAATTAACAGCAATTAATTTTTTCTATTTTTTAACTATTAATTTTAAATTGATCAAACGGTAATCGATCAGGTAATAAGACTCAAATGGTAGCAAGTATAACCACCTCTTTTTACATCACATTTTTCAAATAATATAATAAGAAAAATTGTATATTTTAACATAATTTTTTTACTCTTTCTCTCAAACAAGAAAAATGTGAAAGTAATATAGCTTTGTTACGTATATATCTTTAGCCGAACACATAGAAAAAATATTTTACAAGAGGAGTCCTAAACACCCTTGTGGGTTATAAACCAATCAGAATTGACTACGTCTAAATAAAAATAAATAAATAAAAATAATTGATTATAGTTTAATTAGCATTAAGTACTTTTAAAATAAAAAAGAAAGCTTCCTGGCTCCTGCGTATAAAGATGATTGATAACAAATCAATTAGCATGCACCAAGGTTAGCCTAGTGGTGTGGGGTGTGTGTTAGGAGTGTGTGTAGTGTAGGGTGTTGTGTTCAATTCCTTGTAACCTCCAAAAAAAAACAAATCAATTAGCATTAAATAAATCTAAAATATTGAAATAATTAAATCAAATCAGCCCTAATAAATAAAAGAAAATGTTACAAACAAAATATTAGATCAATCAATCTCAAATCACATCCCAAATATTATTATTCAAAACATGCCAACTTTCTTGTAAACATGGATCGCGCTTAATGGCCCATATATTTGGTTGAAATTATCATAACTCAATCAACTGTATGTGAATCAAGTACTGTACTCAAAAAATAAAAAAAGATAACTAGATAAAATTTCATAAATATTGACCTTTATTTGGGCGACAGTAAAAAAATAAAAAGAAGAGAGAAATTTTTCAAATTTTGAAATAAATAAATGTTAAACAATTGAGATTTTGATTTTTAGAGTTTATCATTTTTCAGTTTTTTCCTTTTTTTCCAAATAATAGAAAATATCAAATTTTATAATTTTCTTGTGGGAAAATTATTTGTCTTTTCAACAGATATATAGTTGTGTCATTTAAAACAAGAGAGAGACACAAGTTATTATTTTTTATTTAAAATTTAAATTTATAAAAAAATCATCTATTTTCTCTTCTATAAAAAATAATAACTTGTTTACCTTTGTTTGTTTGTTCCCAATGTCAATAACAATTAATATGCGAGATTGGGAGGAGTGCCCATCCAAGATTGGGTGAAATGCCCTTGCCATGGTTGCAGGTAGCCTGGGGACCAATGTAACGATGCAATATTTGGTGATTGGCGAACCTATTGGAAGAGTGCAGTTTAAACTTTAAAGATTTTATTGGTGTTGTGTAACGTCACACCGATAAGGCAGGTTTTGCTCAGTAAATTTTAACCTCACGTGATCAAGTTTCATACTATCCCTTGGCTTGGAGTTGCCCTACCATTCTTGTTCTTCATTCATATCTCTTTCCGAATCTGAACGTAATCCAAAGGGTCCAATTCAAATGTTATTTATTTATTTTTTATAAAAATATTCGGGCAGATTTTCGAAGCAGCAAAAGTACTTCATAAAAATATATTGCAATTTGATGTTGCGGTCGAACCTTTTTTTGCGATTATATTTTGTTTGAATGGGACGGTGACCTTAACCTTCATATCGAATTGTTATGCCTTCTTTAATTTGAAATTTTGAATGGGATTGTCTTTTTTTATCCTTTTCTTACGCACAATCATCTATATCAATTGATCACTTCATTTAACTTTGACTTGTTCCCTACTTCTCCTTAGTCCATACAATCACGGCTTTGTCCAGCGTTTTTGACACTTAATTTATCGGCTCGATCGGATTGGACCCATTAGTACTTTATTTAATTCCTTTTCTCTTTTCCCCGCCACCAGTTAAGGAACTTTCTAATCAACGTTAATCCATCATGGGCCTTTAAGCAATGCAAATAAATTTACACGAAAATTGGAAGTTAAAAAAACCTATAAAAGCTACAGTAAAACGGAAGAAACAGTGCCACCTTGATTCACAACATGCGCACTACGCACCACGCGTACTTTCGTCTTTGCCAATTCATAATTGTAAGCGGCGTATCTATCATCCTTTTTCCACTTTAATTCCCTGAAAAAAAACAAAACAAAACAAAATCTACACCTTATTATAAAATAGAAATTTTTTGTTTCCTTATTTACTTTGTTCGTTAGATTTGGTTATCTTTTCTGTCTTTCTTGGATTTCAAATTTCAGTTTCCAGAAATTTTCATGCCCGCAATTAGGGGTGTTTACGGGCCGAGCCGAGCTTTGATTTTAACGGGCCAAGCCTGTATTTAAACGTGTCCGACTGGCCTTATCCTGTTACGAATATAATATTGGCCCGTGGCCTGGTTTATTTACAAAAAATAAAAGCATGTGTGAAGCCTGTCTTAGCCTGTTAGCATGTTAAAGAATAAAAATAAGAGAACAGAAATTCACAAAAAATCAATTTTCAGATAGAAACTTTAGCTTCCAATTTGCAGCAATAATTTACAAAGTTTACAATAAATAAAAAAAATTAAAGTGAGAGAAGGTAGATAACATGTTATATTATCTTAAGCCCATTATAAAAAAAGTGCCAACAAAAATAAAAAAATAAAATAAAAAATAAATTGACACAAACGAGCAGTGCACACAGTGGAACGAATGAGTTTTTGTGGGTCTAAGGCCGAGCTTCTGAATTAGAGACTGAGGCCTTTTTATTAAAGGAGCTTTTATACAAGTCCAAGTCTGGTTCCAACACGAACTTTTATTAAAGAAGCTCAGGCCTTTACGAGCCGAGCAAAGGCCCCTGAAAGGCCCTGGGCTCATTTACCACCCCTACCCCCAATTGTCCTACACCCCTTTCCTTCCTCTGACCTAATCCATAACACAAAACCAGAATAAAGCACAAGCTACGTTCCAAACATAGACTAATAGAGCATAACCACGAGCATGTTCTGTTTTCTTTTTCTTAGACTATAGCATGAGCGGTATTTACATGCGGACATGAAAATCACGCTCACAAAACCATTCATCCTCAGGTGCTTCCTCATCTCTCTCTTCCTCTCTCTCCCCTTCCTCTTCCTCCACATCTTTTCTCCACAACAACCCCAACATTCCAACACCGCCACCACAACCAAAGACCTCAGAATCCGACCCGGTTATTCCTCCTACGAGGCCTACATAAAGCGCCAGCTGAACAAGACCCTCAATCCGAAGCTACGAAAAATATGGACAACCCGCGATTGGAACCGAAAGATCCCAGTTTTTGCGCGGTTCTTCGAGGAGCTTAAGGAGAAGAAGCTCCTCCATAACACGTCAAAAGCGTTGTGCATCGGTGCACGAGTGGGGCAAGAGGTGGAGGCGCTGCGGCGAATCGGGGTGGTTGACTCGATGGGAATGGACCTTGTTCCGTACCCTCCCCTGGTCGTGAGGGGTGACTTTCACAACCAACCGTTCGACAACGACACGTTCGATTTCGAATTCTCCAACGTGTTTGATCACGCGCTGTATCCGCAGAGGTTCGTGGCTGAGATCGAAAGAACGTTGAAACCCAACGGCGTTTGCGTGTTGCACGTGGCTTTGTCAAGACGCGCCGATAAGTATTCCGCCAACGACCTCTATAGTGTTGAGCCCCTTGTCGAGCTCTTCAAGAATTCGGCTTTGGTTCACGTTCGTAACGTCGACGGTTTTGGATTGGACACGGAGGTTGCGTTCCGAAAGAAGGTGAAACCTACTCGTCAACATTTGTAATTGCTTTTTTTTTTTCTTTCTCTCTCTCTCTTTTTTTTTTTTTTCTGTCATACGGTGGCTCCTTTTTATTTCTTTCTTTCTTTTTGGATATTATTTAAATTTTGTTCTTTTGTTTTTAAATAAAGTGACTCCTACATTGTTTTGTTCTTTGAGAAAATTGAATGGTTTAGCGGTGGGGGTGTTGACGATCAATGTCTTACCAAAAAGCTTACTTGCACTTGTGAATATGCTTAGGTGACAAAGGACAGCACTTCACTTAAAGTATATATACATATTAATTACTATGTAGAAGAACTCAAGCATATACCTCAAGAAACCTATGACCATTCTGTATATATATGTAACAATATAATTGGATTGAACTCTGTGCGTTTACGATGTTTTCTGGCGTTGAGTGTAGTGGTGTGGTTCATTTTCAAACTACTGTATAGGTTACAACCCCTCTAGAGAAAAGAAAGAAAAATTATTAATATGTGCTTTAAGAGCAATTTAGCACTAGAATAGCATAAGCTGGGTGTTCGTTTCGTTTAGCATAATTTTTAAGGATTTCTTTTTTACAAAAATTCTTAATAAATACAAAATTAATTAATTAATTACACACGCTAAGAAAAGGAATCACCCTGCTGACTGCTGTGTATGTTCAACTAACACGTTCATCATAATATAGCTAATAAGGAAATGGCTCGTTTGGGTTCTTCTCAAAATCAACTGACCGGTGATTATTTGGAATTTATCCTTGAGTTAAGATTTTTTTCCGAGGGAAAAATTATATTTATTTTAAAAATTCTAATTAAAATAAAAAATCATTTAATTAAATAAAATACTCATAATATATTAATTATGATATAATATAATATAAATATAAATATTCAAATCAATTGGATTGATTACAAAATATTTTTTTTATACATTGATATTCATCTTTAGAGAGATATTAAATATATTGGAGATTGTCTAAAAAATAAAATAAATTTTATCATGTTAATTTTCAAATCTTAGATCTATTCTTTCTATCTTATTTATTTATCATATATTGATATTTGATTAGGAATCAAATTTATTTGAGATTTGTTAGAAAATAAAACTAATTTTATCATGTCTATATCTATTTTTTATCCAATTTTTAAACATTCAAATTCGATTATTCTTATCTTATATATATATATATATCAATTATTATATATTTATATTTAGATAAACATAAAATATATTTGAGATTGACTAAAAAATAAAACTAACTTAACTTTATTATGTTTAAATTTATTTTCTACACATTTTTTTGTTCTATATTTTTTAAAATATATTTCATATGTTTTAAACTAATTCAAACAAAAATTATCTTTTATCAAAATTAGAGAAAAACGTAATATATAACTCTTGTAAAAATACTATAAGTAGGGTCAAATATGGTTACTTAAATTTTTAATCAGTATTTCTTAAATTAAGTATTTCTTTTTTATCTTTTTTCAATCTCTTCATAATTTTGATTTGAGTTCATCTACCACCATCCCTAATTAATTGATATTGATTTCTTAAATTAAGTGTAAAAGTAAAGGACAAATCAAGAACGGGGATCATTGTGTCCATACTTTGTGGGACACAACTAGAACTTGCTGGTGAATAGCACCGTTAAAGTTCCCCTCCGTTTGTTAATTGAGAAGAACCTTCGACTTTCTTTCTTCCAATAGACGAGACTAAAATAGAATTATTTCTGTTTAACCGAAGAAGTTACACGAAAATTCATATTACTGTTTAAAACACAAGCATAATGATGGTAGTTTGGATTTAGGTTGTGCATCAGACGAATAAATATGTGGTGTTACTATTGCACCGAAGATTCAGTACATTCTACCAATAAAAATATTACATGTCAGCTAAAGTTTTTTTTTTTTGTCAAAATTTTTTTCTCTCTATAATGTGTAATGCTCTCATTAGTAAAATGCACTGAATCTTGGTGCAAGAGTAACACAAAAGATTTATTTGTCAATTGTACCCGATCCAATCCAGCTGATTCTGTGCTGTCCATCAAGGGAAAGACACCTCGCCGGATATACTAGTGCTATGATTGTTTGAACCTATCTATGGTATCTATAATATAGGTGAATATTACGAAAATTTGTTATAAATATTCTCGTCTAGAATTTTTTTCTATTATTCTTTTTGTTCAATTTTTCAGAAAAAAAAACTTTAATTGATACCACGTCTTTCAGAATAATATTTATGTAAAAAAAATTAGCATTGCTCTAAGAAAAGTGCATATATTAAACCCCTGACCTATAAAACATTTACAAATAAAGGAATGTTCCTTAATTATTATGAAACTCTTTTAGTAAAAAAAACTCAAAAATAATGACACTCCAGTGAGTTGTTCTTTTCATAAAAATTATTATTTTTAATATTCTTTTAAATTCATTGATTACGCCACTAATTCGATTTGAGTCAATTAGGAGCACTGGTTAACCTAAACAACCGCTTACTTTAATCCACGTATTTGGTGGTTTAATTTGTTATGCTTGGTTAGAGAATAACGTGATCTGTTCTCGTTAACCATTTCGCAAATTTTATCCTTCAGATATAGCAGCACCCTTGCACCATCATATGATTTGATAAAATGTTTTTTTAAAGAAAGAGTAAATTTATATAATAATGCTTTGAGAGGTGATTAATATTAATGTTAGAATAAATATTACTTTGGTAAATAATTAATTACCTTATAACTGTTAGTTTGGATAAATATATAGCACGTTTTATAATAAGTTTGAATTCATTATGATAATATTGTTTAGAAAAAAAGAAGAGCAAAATTATATAGATTATTTTTTTCATAAATAAAATACTTAATATGTCAGTATTAACGAAATAAAATCTTTTATATTATGTATACAACTAAACATTGTTAAAAGTAAATAAAATAAAACTGACTTATATAGTTTCAAAATTTTAAATATAATATTTTCTATTATACTTTTTGAAAATATTAATATATTTAAATTAATCTATCTATGTTTTGAAAAATCAAATCAAAATAATCTGATAAGCTTTTATAAAGTAAAAAATAGCTCTGTGTTGTAATATTATGAATTTTACATGGGGATGACTATTAGAATATAAGGGATTTATGTAATCTTTTGTTTGCCTATGACTTTTGATATGAAATGTAACCATTATATTAATATTGTATTAAAGTGTACTTACTCATGTACCCAAAAGAAAAATGTACTTACTCCCTTTATTGTAAGATATGATGACTGACTTCATGAGTTAGTGATATTTTCATCACATATACTTTCGCAAATCGCAAGTGCTGATACTTTTGTCTTCATATTTTTTCTCTTTCCACTTTCTATTCTCTGTTTTCCTCCTTTCAATTTATAACACTCTGATTAATTCTTTTATGTATGTTAAACCAACGTAAGAATTATACCTTAATTAAGATTACTTTTATTACTTAGTTTTGACTAACATAAAATTGAAATTATAAAAAATATAAAATTAGCTAATTCAAAACGTAGTAAATATTTATTGAAATACCCCTAAGAAAATATACTAATAACATAGAATTACCTTGTGAAGAACTTAAAATAGGACCTAAATTAGATTGTTAGAAATTGGTATTAACTCTCTCTTTTTTCAAAAGAAAAAATGTTTTTAATATTTAATATTACGCTGGTACATTAAACGAGTTTCATGGTCAAGACACCTCACCGGATATACTAGTGCTATAATTGTTTGAACCTATCTATGGTATCTGGCGCAACCGGATCGCGATGTGATGGCAAAAGATTGAATGGTTAAAAAATAATGGAGTCGCCACCAAGATTTATTTGGAAAAATATTGGAAAAATCTTTTTGTTTGAGAAAACTGGTCTTTGAAATAGAAAAATGGATTCGGGAGTCGATTACGAGTAGGAAAGGTATTAGCACCCTACACCGTCCGTTTAAAAAACGGTTACCTTATATTAATTGTGCAAATTATTGATAAAATTTAAATATTTATTTCACCTCAAAGAATTGAACTAAATTGATTAAGAAAACAAAACTAATTTTTGAAAATTTATGTTTGTGCTTGACGGGAAGGGTCCCGCTCCGACGTATCCCTTGGTACTAGGGGTGTTCGCGGTTTGGATTGGATCGGTTTTGAAAGCAAAAGTCATCCTATCCAATCCTTTCGGTTTGATCATGTAATCATCCATTCGGTTTGGATTTTTTTCAAATCCGATCCGACCCAATCCAATTTTTTTCGGTTTGGATTTGATCAGTTTTCGATATTTTGAAAATCCTAAAATTTGTTTCATGGTTATTGTGCAAATAGCATCTTTTGTAGGCTTTGAAATTTTTTTTTTTGAAATACAAAAGTATCAGTAAACCATAATATAGTCTTTTTTTTATTTTTGGCAATAAGATATGAAGCTCCTCACAGATAAAATTTTGTTGATGAGATATGACTAGGTTTTTTCTTGAGTTTAGTTGATGGATTAATGAGTCTTGTGTGTTTAGAAATTTTTTGACTATGATTGGGGAAAGACCCAAGTAGGTAGAGGAAAATTAATATATTGGATCGGTTTGGATTGGATCGATTTTCATCAACCCATCCGAAAATCGATCCAATCCAATTAAAATTTGCGGTTTTTTTTCGGTTCTCGATTTTTCGGTTTTCGGTTTATTTGATTTTCGATTTTTCGGTTCGGTCATCGCGATTTGAATCGATTTGGATCGGTTGATGAACACCCTACTCGGTACAATAGGGAACTCAAAGCTACGTCGTTTTGTAGAAAATGTTTGTGTGTTGATTGATTTTAATTTTTGAAATAGTTTATTTTAAAGAAAATCATTGGAAAGTTTTGACTTTGATGATATATATTTATTTCAATAATTTTTATTTTTATTATTGTAAATTTTACAATAAATTTTGAATTATCAAGCCGTTACGGCTAAAATGATTCAAAAGATTATGGGATTAACAAGCTGTCTCAACTCAGCTAATCCTTCTAAAAATAGATTTGACCTTATTATTTTTTTATTATAAATTTTGAATCATCAAGCCGTCACGGTTAAAATGATTCAAAAGATTATGGAATTAACAAACTGTCTCAACTCAGCTAATCCTTTTCTTAAAAATAGATCTGATGTTATTATTTTTTATTATAAATTTTATAATAAATTTTGAATCACCAAGCTGTCACGGCTAAAATGATTCAAAAGATTACGGGATTAACAAATCGTCACGATTAAATTATCTTCGAAGATGGATGACCATACATCCAGTGCCGGACCCAGAAGAAATTGTTTATGTCTGCACATTTAGCGGTGGGGGTTCGAGGGCAACGCCCCCGAAATTTTTTTTGTAAAGAC